ATATATATAATTTTATTTGTATATAATAAAATTAATAAAAAATAATTATAAAAAATAAAAATAAGATCAACCTGTAAGTTAACCCATAAGTTAACCCGTAACTTGTTAGGGTTTGACTTTTTCAACCTACAACTCATTTATAATTCAATCAATATAATCCGTCACTCAAATTGATTTAATCCGAACTCGACTCAACTCGGCTGCGTGCTAGGTCTAGTTTGATGTTTTAATGCTAGGTAGGTATACCGAACGCTGTCTACTTCTTCCACGTCCTCCACCCGTCTCGCATTTATCACCTTCTTAACTCCAAGAATAGAACACAAGCCCACGTTTTTCATCAATCAAGGAGAGGTTTTAATTTGACTTTCCATTACAACGACTTTGATTAAAAATTTTAAATTTGCTACAGGCCAAACAGTAGCAATGCAGTGATCCCTCAAGACAAGCTTAAATGATGTTTTAATGCTAGGTGGTTATACCGAACGCTGTCCCCTTCGTCCACACTCTTCGCCCGTCTCGCATTTATTACCTTCTTAACTCCAAGAATAGGACACAAGCCCACGTTTTTCATCAATCAAGGAGAGGTTCTAATTTGACTTCCCATTACAACGCCCATTAAAAATTTTAAATTTGTTACAGGCCAAACAGTAGCAATGCAGTGATCCCTCAAGACAAGCTTAAATTTTGCTTTATTCAATGAATACTTCTAATATAGCGGCATCATTAAAGTTACTTAATTGCATTTGCGTGTTGGGATTCAGTAGTGTTAACTGTTAAGTTACATTTAAAATACATTTTTTTAATGGTTTAAATTTAATCCCTTATAAATTTCTTTAAAAAAAAAAAATAAAGTTACTCAATCAACGAGGCAAGAGAAAGAAAGCTGCAGCAAAGGTGTCTAGTTTAAAAATCCTTTTTTTAAATTAGTTTGTTGGGTTTGATCTAAACTTAATAAAAATTCACTTAATTCATCAACTCGAGACTCGTAAAAAATAAGTTAAGATCTACATATCTCAATTTGTAACTCGTAGATAATTCATATTATCAACCCATACAGGTTACGGATCAGATTAGGGTCAATCCATGGTTGACGGGTTGACCCATTTATTTTATTTTTTATTATTATTTTTAAATATTATACTTATTATCCTTAATTAATTTTCTTATTGGTAACTCTTTTCATTAATTCATACTCCCTAATT